GTCAGAGATCCTTTTGGTCTGTTGCAAGCCAAAGTGTTGGCCAATTAGCAATTGAACAGCCTGACACTAGGACATGGCCAAGATGCAGTTGCATTCAACTGTCAGTTCACCGTCTCCCTCCATCTCTCTGCTCTTGCTATTGCTATTGCTTTTGCTGTCTTGTTTCTGTCTCTATTTCTGTACGAAAACAGTAATCCAATTGAGATTCTTGAGTATTATTAAATTATTTATAGCCAAACGAAGCAGAGGACAAAACTGTGTGCAGAATTGTGTAGATTTATATATTTGATGAGCTTCAAATTGAGTGGGAAAGCCGAGTTAGTGACACTTTTGAGTGGCTGCCTCGAAGTCCCCTCCAGACAGATTGTATATTCAGTTAGTAGGTATGCACTGGTCGAGGCATTCAACAGCCTCTCCAGTTCTGATTGCAATTCAATTATTTAAAGTTAAAATGGGCCGGGCCTGGTACTTTTCATGTGTGCATCCACAAAATACATTTATTCATTTGTATGCCACGCAATTGATAGAGCGTGGGGACTGGCGTCCCCGTTGAATAGATGATTGATGGGCGGCTGCAATCTGCGCTGTGCACACAGTTGATTTGATCAAGGGCGGGGGTGCAGAAGTGGTGCAGGAAGTAAGGCTACGGCTACTATATGCATTCACATTTGGATAGATATTCAATTTAAAAAAATTCCCCAACAAAGGATATTCATTTTGGCAATTTAATTATAAATTGTTAGATAGTTTTATTCGAAGAATGGATAAACAATGGCGAAACCCTTTTAGGGTTCTCTTTATGTCGAAATTCCGGGCGGGCATTGTCGTATATGCGATTCAAGTATCGCCGCTGATGGGCTTTCTATGCAAATGTCCTGAAAAACATACACACATGCAGAGCGAGAGAGAAATCAGCGTCATAAAATTGTTTGCTGTCTTCCTTTCTTTTTTTTATCTGCGTGTGTGTGTATGTGTGTGTGTCAGGAGCAGTATGGCGACAGCGAAGAAGGGCCGAAAAGCAAAGGGCACAGCAAGATTCAATGGTCCTTGCGAAGGCCGCATATTTCACGTTACTTATCTTTATCATTGCCAACTAATTTCACAGGGTCCAGAAGAAGGAGCAGGAGCGGGAGCAGGAACAGGAGTAGGGGAGAACACACACACACACACATTCATACATTCATACTCATAGTATGTATCTTTTACAGAGGCTGAATACAAAATATTTGTTTATTTCTAGTTCATATCTCTCATGTGCGCTACACTTGTTTCTGCTCCGCTACTGCTTCTGGCACTTGCCCATGCCCCAACTCCATTCCCATCCCGTCCCCTGCACCTCATGCCTGCTTGCTGTTTTGTGGCATGTTTGCGCCATTTTGCGTTTTTGTTTATGTTTAGCTGGGTCATTGCGGCCATTCCATATAGCATACATATGTATGTACATATGGCTATGTGCCACTTTCTCTTTGTGTGTGCGTATGTGGGTCTCACGCTCTCTCTCTCTCTCTCTTTAAGTTTTTTATTGTCTTTTGCTTAGGGTTAAGTTTTGTCGTTTGCAGGCTTTGTTTATGGGGCTCCCTGCGATCCCGCTCCCCCTGCCAGATGCCATCGAGCTAATCCTTTTGTTATATGGCATTTAATTTATTTTTAAAGCTTTATTTCCCCTCCACCCCTCCCGTTTCCAGCAACGTGTTTGTAGGCCGCAAAACAAGGCCAGAAACAGAAGCAGAAGGGAAATACATTTGTATAGCATGCTTTTATGCGTTGCCCTGTTCTGCTGCTCCCTGATCCTTTGGCTGTTTGCCTAACAACAACACCATGAATATTGCACGCTCCCAGGTTTTTTTTTCGAAAAATCATGCAACAGGGCGTGTTTCTACTGCCAGCATAATTGGCTCCAGCACACACATAACAGATAGAACAGATAGAAGGAGAACACACATAAGTACATGCTCGAGCAATTGGCAACAAAACTGCAACAATAACAATAACTATTCAATATGCCCGCAACAGATGGCATACCCCAAAACCCCTTAGCACTGAACTCGTCACCGGCACAAGCATCACCATCAGCATCAGCATCAGTATCTGTCCAAGCGGTCTACACTTGTAAGCCTGGTCTAATTGGCCCTCATTACATCAAAGAGTTTCGCGTGGGGAATGCCAAGCACAAAAATAAAACTCATCTGTGGGCGAGAGCATGTCCGCGTGGCTCCGTGTGTGTGCCTTCTGTCAGTGGCCATGGCAATGGGAATGGGATCGACTGTGGCCACGCCCTTAACATCTGCTGATGGTCATTCGGGGGGCAAGTGCGAGGAGTTTGGCTTCTGTTTTCGGCTATCATTGTTCCATCCTTTCTGTCTCTGCTTGTCCAGCTTTCTCCTAGTTACATTCGATTAATCTGCGGCTGGTCGTTCAGTGGCGTGCTCAGTGTCCTAAAGAAGTTGGCCAAATAATTGCTTTCCACTAACCACACTCTCAAACAGACGGCCTTGAATTAATGTCTCTGAAAGTAGCTCAAAGTGCTTTTGCAAAAAGTTTTCCCACTTGACCATTTACTTAGCTATAGACATTCGAACGGATACTTACGTTTAAAGCTAATGGAAAAATGGTATTGCAAGATTTAATATATTTTCTACTTTTTTTGTAAATATAAACACATATTTATTCTTTCTTAAAAATACCCATTTTTTTACGATGTATTAAACAATAACAATTGCTTTTTCCCCTAAGTAACAGAAATACAGTGTTATTCATATACTTTTTTGTTCTGTTACTCTTTTTCTCTATTTTCTCTATCCTTTATATGTACTTTATTTTTGCGAATCGTCCATTAATCTGCTCTGTTTTTTTTTTATTGAATTACAAAGAAAAGCTTATAGAGTTGTGGTTTAAATAGTCAAATGTCTCTGGTACTTAATTAAGTTTTGTGCATGAGTAGATGTGCATTTGCGGAGTGGTTCAGCCAGAAAAGGAGGAGAGAGACCGCACAGCGTCTGTCCATCCGATGTCAAAGTGTGTGTGTCTTCAATGCTATCAAAACTAATGTCCTAATGAATGGTGATGCTTCTGAAGGACTCTTTGACTTCCGCTCTACTCGCACAATTTCCACTTCCACTTTCCTTTCGTCATCCCACAATGCCTATCGATTTCGTTTGTGAGAGCCTCTGTATATGTTTCTGTGTGTGTGTGATAATAATACCATTGGCGAGGAGCTTCAACAGGCCGTTGTCCCAAAGTACGTGTCTGTCATTTTGAATTACAAGAAGCTGCGAAATGTAAAACGGGAAATTCGTGCGGACGGCCGGGGTGAATGGGGCGTATGAGTAACGTCTTGGATATTGCTGTGCTTTGCATTTGTATGGACAGAAGCCTGCCGCCGCTCCCTCTAGTGTAGCATAATTGTGCGTCGTTAAGTTTATTATGAAGTGCCATCCCACACACATACACACACACACAATCTCGCACAAGCCCAGCCTGAAACACACACGAATGACTGGAAGAGGAGTTTAAGTCAAGCAATTGGAAACTAAATTGGAATTTTTATGACAGCCATCAGGCAGGGACGTCCAGGGCAAGAGCAAGGCCTTATCTCTGCACAGCATCATCAAGGCACACAATAGCCGCCGGCAGGCACACATGGCGTATGCGTATTGTGTGAGCGCATTTGACCGACAAGCTCTTCCAACTATGGGCACACACACTCGCACAACCACTGGCACTGGCATAAATACAGTTATAATGCGTTTTGCATTTGGCAAATTTCCCCCAGGCCCCGTTTTCGTTACGGGTTTGTCGGGGCCGCCTTTCAACGAATTAAGCGTTGACAAGGCCAAAATGAACGCCTGAGTTGGGCCAATAATTTTTGAGTTTGCCTGCTGCTTCTGTGTGGCCGCTCGGTGGAGAGTGAGCTAAAATCTAAGAACTGAAATTGTTGACGAACAATTCACGCAAAAATAGGCAGATAGAATGAGTTTCAGTATTTTTTGCCTGTCTGATTGAGTGTGAAATTGTTCGAATCATCATTTAAAGATCGTTTGAATGGACCTCGTCTCTGCTCCAGACATCTCCCTCTTTGGAAGATTATCTGCTGACTTTACTTTTCTATTTGCTCGCCTCCAGCAGCACACGCCCACTTCCCTGCCATCTCCCATGGGACTAGAGTTCCTTTTGATGCGTGTATAACACATAATAAACAATATACTTGCACTCGTAGTTGGATGTATACGAGTATACTCTTGCTGAAACTGTGGCATATTCGCCCCCTGGCCAATGGCACATTCGCAAACACTTTTGGCTCAATCTGCTTTTGGTTTTACGGCTTTTTGCGGCTCTGGAGTTGGCTCGTTCATGATGTTGGATGCAGTTTCTCAATCTCTAAGTCATGTTTGTGGCTGTCTCTGCGGCTGTCAGTTCATACCGAGTTTTGGTTTTCAATTGAATAGAAATCAAATTTGCAACAAATCAAACTTCCATGGAGCGAAACCAAAAGAATAACATTTCTGACACTCCTCCGTCCGCAATTGCAATTGTTCGAAACTCAAAACTTAATTACACAGATTTCTCTCAGAGTTTGGCTGAGCCGATCAGAGTGTTCTTGAAGTTCATTATGCCGGGTGGCTGGCTTCCATGACAGTAAACTGAGGCTCCACGGCATTATTATGGCCACCACGAGGAAGGCAGGAATCAAGTGCCGCCTACTGACACGGCACCACCATCATTTTCATCGTCCTAGCTCACGTTGTCCTCGTCGTCATCATTCTCGTCACACAATTTAGTTTTATTAACTGAAGCGAGTGGCGGCAGGAGACCGATGTAGAGGAAAGCAACGGTAGAAGAGGATGAAGAGAACTGATTCCTAGTGGCTCCCCAGATGCGGCTGCTGCTCAACCATAGCTGCCACTGCCACTGCCACTGATGGGCCCTTAAGCCTCCATATTCATCAAGACGCTATTTAATTTGTATAGTTTGCATAATTTTATTATGTTTTATTTGTTTGTTTCTTTTGTTTTTGTTTCGTTTTTCTTTTTTAGATAATTTACGTTACATTTAACTACACAGACTTAGGGGCTAGAATTTCTCATTTCCTGCAGCTGCGCCATTATTTACACATATTCTTTGGAGGTTCCGCAGCCGCAAGAGCATCCGCGTTGGATACGATTCGCTCTCTAGTTAGGTCGTACTCGTACGATCTTATTGCACATCTCTAAGACAGTTAAAAGTTTTGTCCACTAATTAAAAGTTACATTAATTTAGTGAATATCTGTGTTATTTTAGACAATTACTCATAGTTTATTTTGATTACGCGATCCGTGCTTCTCGTTCTCAATATTGGTTATTTCTCTTTTGATTAACAAATTCTGGCCAAAACTTTTATTGCCCTCTCTCTGGGCATCCCATTCGTACCCCTCTCTTTTACTTGCAGTTGCACCCACACTTAACGGTAACAGTTTTCCAATTTTCCATTACTTTAGTTTACCAAATAATTTATTTACAGCTTAACTCTGAACTTCCTAGAGTGAAGTCAAATTCCATTAGCAAAACCCGTTCTAATCAGTTGAGTGGTTCTCCGGCTCTCTGTACAATTCCCCCCATAAATCATATTTACTCGCGAATGATGGAGCTTGAGGATGTCCGTTAGTGCAGTGACTGAAACAAAGTTCTTAGCCCTAAAAAGGGGCTTACGTCAAACGGAAGGATATAGATACATATGTAGACGGGCAGGGGTGTCCTTGCTACAGTTCGGTCAGTTCTTCTTATTGGATTTGGAAGTGACTCCATCTATGATCTGCTAGATCCTGATCAACCACTTGATCAGAAATGTATGAATGTCTGGTTCAGAGATAACATACATACATATATACGAGTATTAGATAAAAGCTCTTTGTGCCTTTGCACTCCAAAAAAAAGGAAATGTTTTGCCGGGGACTTAAGAGAGTTCGGCCTAGCTTGAGATATTTTTGCAGATATTTTTCTAGAGCTAAAGAATTTTTAAAACCGGCCAAAGTTGAAGAATTGTATGGTTTCAGACATTTTTTCAAAAAAATATTAGTTTCTTTTATGAAATATGAACTTGTCTCTTTGCCACAGCAAATGCCTAAAACTCTGGATGCTTTTTCAAGTACACTCTTGCGCTCTCCAATATATGCGAATGCGTGTATGTGTAGAGTTGATAGTTTTCCAAAGTTTATCTTTTTTACTGTTGCTGCATGCTGCAAGTTATTTCGCTCTCTCCCTCTCTCTGCCTAGCTGTTGGCCTGTCTGCTCTAGACCTCCTCCGTCTTGGGAGCACTTCTAGAGACTCCCTCCTCTGTTGATAAGTGTGGAGTGTGTCACCTTCGCTTACACTTATACATTCACAAAATACAAACACATGCACATAGAAGTGGGCTGATTGATGGCTTGGCATCATGTATGTATTCCTGTATGTATGTATAGAGAGAGTTCTTAAGCTTGATTCGCTGTCTGTAAAGTTTAGCTTTGGGTTTGATTATGGGGTAGTACGTATGCTCGGATTTGGGCCTCGCTTTAATGAATATCGTATGAGAGAGAGAGAGAGAGAGAGAGAGAATTAACTAGTGTAAGATTACGGCTAAGATTCCACCAATACATTCGTTCGATAGTTTGCACCTGCCTCTGCTTCTTCCTTATGTTCCTTTTCCTCTGTGGTGGACGCTTACGAGATCTTCATGTACACACTCGTGTGGAATATCCGATAGCCGGTGGCAATGATTATCATAATCATATGCAGCTGCGATTGCATTGTCTTGGTGGAGCCGCCCACATGTCCGTGATACATGGCCGCCGGATTGTCGCCTGTGGCAGGAAGGAAACCGGGAAAAGAAGAGCAGAAAAGAAACCAAATGAAATGAAAGGAAATGAAAGAAAAGTGAGAATATAAAAATGAAATTTTTATAAAAATTTAATTAAAATCATGAAGGAGAGCACTCTTATACCCACACACGCGGGAATGTGTGCATACTCGTACTCGTATGTACAGAAATGTGTGCTCTCCCACACGCTCGCGGGCTTAACTAACAAAATGCTAATGAGCGACGTCGCTTCATCGCGCCAGAAACTTATAAATTATGACTGGCTCCTAACTATGTGGGTGGTCTTTGTTTGGCGTTGCTGCATATGTATCCATGTGTGTGGAAGTGTGTGTCTTGGTATGTTTATGGCCTGGCTTTAATGGCAGTTTGCCTGCCAAATGGCCGCTGTGTTGCCGTCGTCGTCGTCGTGTCGTGTGCGGGCATTTTTAATCCACATGCTTGCGGCCGTGTAATTTTCATAAATTACTTTTATTGTTTTCTCTGTTTTCAGTCGCGTGATATATGGACTGCAAATGAGCTGCAGGAAGCAGCTCTCCCATCGCAACACACACACACACACACACACACACGGACAGATACAAGCACAGATGGCAGTTCTTTGGTTTATTTCAAGTTTTAATTTCATTTGCGATGATAATTGAAATTTCCCTCAGGCAGACAGCCAAATGCAAATAAATATGACGCTATCGTCATACGTTGCCGACGTACTAATTGCATTTCCTGTTCCTGTTCCTTCTCTGGGTCAGGGTCCATCACTCACCTTTAAAGATATGCACCAGGACACTGGCCGGCTGCGTGTTGCTGGCCACGCAGGTGAAGTTGCCCGAGTGTTCGCGCCGTGTACGCTGTATGGTGAGATCGGATGATTGAAAGTCTGCAAGGGGAAAATGCAGCGCTGCAGGATAATGCGTGGACAGAATGGCAATTCCGCATGCCGCTTACCTGGCTCCGTTGACACGTTAATGCCCCGATCAATGTCGTAGTTAATCATCCGGTTATCGTGATACCAGAATATGTACTCGGACGCCTCCGTGTTCTGCACCACGCGGCACTGCAGCCGCAGCGTGGAGCCCGGCGTTAGGTAACGTATCGGGGGCCCAGAGATCTCGGCGCGCGCTTCTAACCGAATGGAAGGGCAAGAAAGCAGACGTTGAAATTCATTTGAAAGATAATCAGTGCACTCATAGTCATGGAAAGGCTTCTAAGCTACATCCACGCTTACTTGGCCCTCATTTGGCTGCCTTGTTCCAGGCCTAAACATCCATTAACTCAGCCTGATCCTGTTCCAAGAATTTTCCCCAGCCCAAGCTCAAGCGAACTCTTAGTTCTTGTCTACCTCTGACAGTCCAAGGTCAAGTCGAGTCAGAGTCCAATTCTTTGCCTCTCCAAACTGCTATCAATATCTTTCAGAGCCCCTGGAGCGGGCTCCAACTCCAGCATTTCATCCGTCCACAGTTGGCTCCAGAGTTGGTTCAAGCCAAATGAGGGCTGTCACATCAGTATCCATGTGTGCCAAAATGAGTGGAGCGGCTTTGTTTTTTGGGAAAGGACCTCGACCCAGCAGAAGGCCATTAGGCGCAGCACATTCAGAGTAAATTGTTTGTTAATTTCAGAATAATGTGCGTCAGTTAGCCAAGGACAGCGCGACGAGTTGAGAACTTGCTGAGTCGTTGCCATTTGGCCCGGATTTCCCCCTCCTGCGTCCCTCCACCGACCGTCTCTAGAAAGTCTCTCAACCCTCTCCATCCCTTCTTTCTGTCCACCTGTTCCACCGACCCCTGACATATGGACATTTCTAATTTCAGGTCGAGCGCATCGAAAACGATGCGAAAATGTGGGAAAAACTAAAACTGCCTGAGATTTTCCACCAGAATTTGTTATTCCGCTCTGACCAGCAGAACGGCAGCAGCAAAAGAAATTCAGTAAGGCGTGAAATTATCGAATACAGAAAACCAGAAGAGGAAAACCCAGATGAAACCCGAAGCCAAATAGAGGCCTCTACTTACCGACGACACTCAGGTGCAGGAATATCGATGTGGGCGGATGAGTGGACACCTGGCACTCGTAGACGCCTGCATCACGTAGCTGCACGAATTTGATTTGCAATGTCCAATCCTGCGGGCGAGAACAAACAGCGGGACAAACCAGGCAAAAAAAAAGTTAGTATTAAAAGCTTGGCCAATGGAAGTCAATTTGCTGCCATTGGGTCCGGCCCACTATTGCATAAATATTCTGCAATATTCTTGCCAGAATTTTTGTCACGTATCTCCGATTCGAGGCCGACAAGAACCATAGCCAAAGTTCACAATGCAGCAAAATGTGAAAGCCAGAATGGTACCGGGACTGAGACCAGGACAGAGAACTGGACCGGGACCGGGACCGATTTGGTATGCAGGTGGCGACGATCCGTTTCCGAACCCTGGTGATGCAATCAGGTTTTCATCTGTCTTCGGTCTTCATGCCCCAAATCCACGCTCCACCTCCAACGGCCATCAACCATGCAAATTACTCTGCAGAACTCACCTCGGAATGCTTCAAGTGCGTGGCACTGAAGCGCTCGTCGCTGCTATACGTTGTTAAGCCGACCGTAAGCAGATGATAATCCTTTTTGCGTATCCATGATACCTAGAAATGGAAGGAAGGAGAACGGCACGGGATTAGAAGAAGGGGTGATGCCGTTAGCCAAACATAATGGACTCCCAGGGACGCTGCTCTGGGTTGGACGTTTTTTCTTGAATGCTAAACATATGCCCGGATCTGGTGCTGGGGCTGGGCCTGGCCCCGGGCCTGGGGTTGGATCTATTCTTGGGTGTCCCGCTCAAATGTTTGCCAATCCATCAAGCGGCGAGGACGATGGCGATGACAACAACTTGATGATGATGCAATTTTCAAATGGCGCAGATACAAAATGGATGGAAGGGCAGCAGCAAAGAAAAATCAAAAAGCAATTACGTGTAGGAATTACTACAACAGCAAATACAACAACAGCCCAGGATAGGACGACAATCAATATAATAACAGATTGATTGATCCTAGGTTCAAAGTTCGAATTGGCTACCTATCTGTAAATAGACAAACAAACAAACAAATAAATGTAGGGGCGTTTGCTGGAGAGAAACCCCAATAAACCTTCTTCCCACTACCGTCTTGCTCCATCCTTCCCTGTTTGGGTGTGTAAGTGTGTCTGTGAATGTGACTTTAGCCAATCTTAAATGACCATTAATCATTTCTTCTTTCCCACTTTACGCCACTTTTTTCCACTTTTCTGTTCATGATGGGAACCTCCAAAAAACACATCTATTAGCTGTCCATATGGGGTTACTGGCTGCTGCAGAAGATGATGCCTTGTAGGCGAGAGGCCCGGAGTCGAGTCCTACCTAAGCGCATGTATCAATCAATTTTCAATTGATAAGAACCTTTATTTATTGGCCCACAAAAAGTAACGAAGTAAAAGGCAACTTTCTCCCAAATATTGACACACGCGAGCTCCCAAACTCAAAGATGAAGCTGAAGTTTCCACAAAGCGGGGAGCAGAACAGATGTAAAGGAGCAGCAGCCAACTCGAAATTAAGCTGAACGAGGAAATTGTTAAATCAGCTGCGTGTGCGTTTGCCTTTGCCAATAAAAAGGAATTACATTTGCCGTGCTTAAATGTTTAATGCGGCGTATACGCAATGTGGCGCAGCGGAAAATGGAGAGAAGCAGTCAGGGGAACAGTTCCAGTTCCCCATGCAGCTGACGGCTTAAAATATCATGCTTTCCAGACAGAGCTTTCAGTTTAGGAAATACTCATATATACGTTTATAGATTCTCGCAGTTTTTTTTGTTTCGAAACATATTTCAAACTGGCGGGCTATGGCTGCGATGGGGGAAATTTGCAATTGAATGGCAAAAAGAGCTGGAAGTCGTTTATTATCAAGATTTTGCTCGCATATGCTTATGAAATCTTCAGATATATGCTTGTACTTTTCTATATATCTATTCAATACAATCTGTAACAGTAAAAATTCCGAGTGAGAGGCATAAATTGCGCATAAATTCCTTTTTGGCCCCGAAGCTCCTAGTCACCAGACGGCGACGACGACGACGGCGACGGCGACTCCCAGAAGCAGAAACACATCTATATCTATGTTTTTTTAGGATTTTTATGATATTTATGATGGCAAAAAGGACTGCGCAGAGAAGTGGGTCTGGGACTCGGACTGGTGCTGGAAGTGCTACGTGTCGGCAAATAAACCATGCAGCTAGCCAGCAGAAGAAACGAGGCAGACGGGGTACAAAAAAGGAAGATTCGAGTGGAATGTGTGGATGGGAGCCAAGTGAAGCCATCAGCGCCAGCCGGAAATGTGGAGAGCAGAAATAAAATGTTGCGGCAATTAATCAAAAGCCTGCGAATTCCTTTCCCTTTTGGCAGAACTTTTTGTGCGGCTGCATACGTGTACGAGTAAGAGTGTATGAGTGTGGCGCATAAATCTCAGCTGCCACACACACACACACACACACACACACATGTCCCGCGGCTGCTGTGGTGGCTGCGGCGACTCCTGGTTCTGTGGCGCTGCATCTGCGGCACGCAGATAATTGTTTACATTTTACCTTTTCGAGCTTTATGTAAAATAAAAAGTGACGCTTTATTTATGGCCGAAAGCAACAGCACACACACCACAAATCACTTGTTAGCAAATTTATGGCAAATTTATGCTAACTACTTGTCCCCTTTGTACCACAGTGCCACAGCTCCACAGCTCCACAGCGGAGTAGCCCCTAGGTAGGCCATATATTCGACAAGACGTCGCTCGCCCCCAGGGCCTGCCAATGCATTTATCGGAGAATCTCGATTCGTGACAGCCGCCCGCACTGACAGGCAGGGACCGGGACCCACCCGTCTGTCGGGTGCCGGGTAATTGCATGGCTTGGTGGCTAAATCTATTTCCCCCAGAAGTTTGAACTCACTTTACATTTTTGTACAGCCCCAGAGCTTCCGCACCCCTGTGTTTCACTCGGTCCGTGGCATAGGTACAACTTTTGATTGGCTTTTGTTCTGATGCATGTTGTTGCATGTTATTGACGCACATTTCTGTGTGCTTTATGTTTCGCTGTCCAACCAATTTCTGTTCTGACACAATCCCAATGGCCAACAGAATTTTACGCCGGGCGAGAGGGAGGTGGTGCCGTGTGGTGCGTTGCGGTTTGGGCAAGCAGGGGGGAGGATGTAGAACTGTTGTAAAAAAGTACAAGCAACTTTTTCAATGTGCACAACTTTTTAACAAGCGATTTTAATAAAATTCTATTTGGAAACTGCAGCGGCAGCCGCCATTTTGGTTGCAACTTCGTCCCCCACATAAAAAGCACACACACACACAAAATGGATAGTATAAAGCAACAGAGAGAGAGAGAGAAAAGAAGTCTGCTTTCTCTGATCCGTAGGGAGTGTTTATTCGAACGGAATGTTTGCACGAGGAAATCAATTTCGAAGGTTCCAGAGCAAAGGAATCAACTAAATTGAAGGCAATGAAGGTGCCGAATATATATAAGTATATCTGTATATCTGTACACTTTTACTAAACGGAAATTGCAGCCCTCAGATTATGCCATCTGCCACATATAATTCTCAGCATTCGCAAAATGCAAGGGCATCACCGATTCGTTGCTCAAGAGCTTCACTAATATCTGACCCTTTTTTATAAACCATTTCATGTGTATGTTTGCTTTTTTTAGGAAAACTTTTGGGTTACAGTTGAAGTGCAAATATGTAGCTATCCAGAAAAAAATTTTATTTATTTATTGTCATGCTATTTGCCGGCCACTTCGGTATGAATAAACGGTTTCTTTTTGCATTTTAGTTGACAACTGTATTGTTCCTTGTCGAATAAATTGACTTCATTCCGTGGCGGGACTGATGGGCATGTGGTAAAGGGAATGTACAAATCGATGAGTACTTTCCCCTATTCCCATTCACTTGCAACCAATCAGTCATTCATCAATAATTGAGGGCAAATCAGACTTAAGTCGAGCTCAAAGCAGCGGAAATGCATTTTAAGTGCAATTACTGCATAATTGAACATCCAATGCAAAAAAAAACATATTTGCACTTGGCGCTCCGCAAATTAGTGATTTCCCCGAGGTAGGGGATACGATGGATATAAGATAATTCAAATGAAATGACGAGTAATTGGGCAGAAGGGTTGGATACCTGACTGTTTATCACTCTTGTGTGGGAGCTTGAGTTAATCTGCTAGTAATTAACATTTATTAGAGCGGAATGTTTAGCCGGAGGGGCAAATAAAACCTTTTGCTTTTACATAGCTGATGCAGAGCAAACGCGTGAATATTATGCATGAAGGAGTTGCATCCGAAAAGCCATCTAAGATATCCTGGTACTCCACTTTGCTCACTTTTTAAAGTATTTTTTCGATTTAAGAATGCGCACTTCAATTCTCTTATGGGGATTATGTCTTGTTTTCCCCCCAACTCTGAGCTTATCATTCACATGCTACGGAGCAGCCTACAGGGTATTAAAGCAGCAGGCAAACAATCAACGCTTTCTCGTTTAATACGATTCGCTTCCTCCGCATCGAAAATAAGTGGAAATGAAAATTGCCATAGCTTACTTTTCAGCGGCTGTCAACTGCGTGAAAGGCGATTGTTTGCCTGCGGCATTTCCCCATTTAATGGCAGAGCACAGGGCCCAATTCAAGCATTATTCGTTAGCCAAACAATTGATGATTGCATAGCAATTAAAATAATTAAGAATATATGTACATGAGCATGGCAGCGACAGGGCTTGGGTTAAGGTCCTTTGAGGCTGTCACGGCATTGAACTTTTTCCTATGCTACACACTCACGCAAACCTACAGGCACTCCGTCCTCCTGCGGTTCAGTATAATTGTTTTAGGTTTGGGGTCTGACCCCGAAGAACCCTTTTGTCTTTCACTCACAAAAGTTTATAGAAATGATGGAGCCATTCTGTATGCTCAAGACACGGACGCTGGAGAAAGAAATCTGGGTCAAATAGTCGTATTCCCCTTTGTTCGGGACATTTGTTTTAATAAACATTGTGACAGGCAGCAACAGCAACAGCAGCTAGAGCTATCCGAGTGGGCAGTCCCGCCTTTGACTATGGAGCCTTCATCAAGCTGTCGACTGGAATGTCTTATTAGCTGGCAAACAAGTCCAGTGCCCCGACCTGTCCTCTCCTGCCCTGTACTGTCTATTGTCCTGCTTGCGTGTCTGTCCTGACGCGTCCCTCCTTCAACTGCCTTAATTACGGTTAAGTCTGCCGGCAACAAAGTGATAATGATTTGTATTCCTTCAAAAAGGTTTATGGCAATTTTCGTGCAACATTAACTTCTTGGAGCAGCACCCCCTAAGTGGCTGACACAGTGTGAGTATTGCCCAGCCCCGTCCTGCCACGCTTCTCTAAGCTTATAATAAGCTTAAACTTGTGTCTGTTTTTGTGTCTCTGTCACTGTGGGTGTGGGTGTCATGGACACACAGCTATTGTCATACCCTCAATGACATTTATAATTAAATTGGTTTCTCAAAATAGACAAATTGGCGCATACTACACACACATATGCCTGAGGTTGCTCTGCACTTGAAGCTCCCATTTAAAATATGCCCAAAATCGACTAATATTTGCCATTGAAAAATCATCGTCCCGTGAGCAAATACAATTTGGTTATTAGATTTGAGTCTTGAGCTGTTACTCTTGGTGATTTCAAGAAGTTTGAAAAGCTAACATAATTTTGACCGATTCATTAACAAGAAAAAAAGAAGCAGTTGTTTTAGGAATAAAATTCAATTCGCACTAAAAATAATAAATTTTAATGCCAATTAAAAATCAAAGCCAGCCCGCAGACAGTACCAGCAACTCCAAGAGCCGTATACCCCCCAAGAACTTGGTGGGTGTAATGAAGAGATCTACCATTTTGTGGCCATATTTTGTATATAGAACATACATTTTATTTGCTGTTGGTTCTAGTGGGCACGAAGCAGCTGTACAAATAGCAACAGTCCCAGATTCAGATACAAAGATACAGACACATTAGAGCTTGAAGGTCATTGCAGCCATAACCGAGCCTGGCCGTAAAATATTTTATAATTTTTTATGTTGCTGGTACTTCAAGCAGGGACTGCGACTACAAAGAGCTCTACAGCTACAATACTGTTGTGCGGATGCATGAGTGCTGTGGCGTAGGAAGACTCGACGACTGTATTTGTTGAGGTCCTTGCTTTGTTTGCCTTCTTGTTGCTGGCTGGCAACTGGAACTCGAGTTCAAGCAGGAGCTTTAGCCCGCTCACACAGCAACATGGAGGCCAGGCCCTAAAAATAGGGAATGAAATACTCAGCTGAGAAGAGAGAGAGTTCAAATAAGCCGGAGAAATGGCATAAGAATACCAGTGTGTGTGCGAGTATTACTTTGTTCGCACAAAAATCTGGAAAGGCATGTGATTCATGTGCCACAAATCGCATGGGAAGGGAACACTTAAGCTGGAATTTCCAGCTGAAACTATGCAAAAATTATGATTGTGCAGAAAATATGGGTTTGTTTTGTTTTGATTAAGCGGAGCGGCTACTGTATCCTATATCCCGTAACCCGTATCCCATGCCAACCTTCATCAAAATTGTGGCTAAATTATTTGTTTGTTTTTTTTGTATGCCACACTCGAAGGACCAACTAAATGGCTTCTGTTCGGTTTTGGTTTTGGCTATGGCTCACTAGGGCGCTTCACATTTCCCCCTTTATCTGATCTTAAACTTTGCAAATTAAATATGCATATATAGATGTGTTTGTCTCCGTACCGTACCGTACCGTACCGACCTTCTGCTGCTTAAATATTTGCGTAACCTTTTTTATCTAAACGACTGATCCGAGAGCCGATGGCTCAGGGAGGAGCCAGAAGAGCTACCCCGAAGCGTTAATTTTCATAAAATACCAATTTCGGTATTATTTTCTGGAAAATGTAGGAAAAATATACCAAGAGGAAACGTTTGCCAAAGCTTACCTTGGCCTCCCACTCTCTCGTTCTTTCGTTTTATAATTCTATTTTCTAATCTGCATTGGAGAACATTTTCTAGAAAATTATAAATAAATTACGTTCTATCTGTGCAGACAAGAGAGTGTGCAGAGTGAGAAAAAGAGAGGGAGAGAGATGGACATTTTGCAAGTTTTTCGGCATTTAAGCTTTTGGAATTTTCCTTTGTCGAACGCCTAGGAGACGCCACGGCGTGCTGTGAGCACATTTAATTACTGCTACTTTTCTCTATGAAAATGTCCCAATGCGAGCAAGCGAGAGGCGAGTCTAGACATTAAAAACGACAATTTATCTAAAAAGTAATTAAGTGCTCAAGTCGTACAGACACACGGATGCACGGAAGCAGCATGGAAGAGCACAGGGAGCAGAGCAACAGGGCAATCATGGGAATCAGAGTCAGCAAAGGAAGCGGAAGGCAACTGGGAGGCAGGAGTCACAAGAGTGAGGTTTAAGGCCCAGAAGCACAGTGCGAGTGCAGTTCGTAGTCGAGCATATATGGAGAAAAGTATGCGGTACAGTGGGCTCTGAGCCAAAAAGGCAGTTTCGTCCATGTCTCTTTCGAATTACCTGAATGTTGGGCTTTCTTTAACCCGAAAAAGAATGAAATTATACTCCTCTAGCATTCAGACATTGTAACTACATATTTTCACAGCTGATTTAAATTGTTAATTATTTAATTATTACATATACAACTGTGAAGAAGTACACACACCAATACACCAGATGGCCTGACGAGAAAACTCTTGAATGGGGCTCTCACTGTACCACATATATGTATGTATCTCTGGTCTGAGTGTGTGGCAGCAGTGTGCTGCTGATTTAGTTCAATTTATATGAGAAGAGCCAAGTGCAACTGGAGTAAGAGGGGTCCTTCCCTCTGGGTGATGGCTGACAGGACGAAGGACCCACGTATTTGCTTAGTTTATTTTAAATGCCGTTTAAGCTGATGCTCTGGGATAATACCCAAATGACATATTTTAATGTCCGCCCACTGCCACATAAGAGTGTCGTAATTCTTAATTTAAAACGCAAGCTCTCTTTCTCTCTTATATGTGTTTGTGTAGAGGTGGGAGTTTTCGACGTTTGATTTATGCGTTTTAAATTTGCCAGTGAATTTCCATATATTCTCAAGCAGATATTTGTCTTCCAGTTGAACAAATAATTATTCATAAATAACCATCCAGAATACTATCCTTCGGGCTAAATATTTGACAGGAAATTTACCTCTGTGTTTGTTTTCCCCTCATAAAAGGCAACCACTGTAAAATTATGGCGCAACTGAAATGAAAGTTGCAGCAAAATGCCGAAACAAAGGCGCGCTCGAGGAAGCAATTCATTTATTTAATGTTTCCTGAATTTTATTGTCGCCTCACAGAAATTTACGACAGCGCCAGGAGGGGAAGAGGCTCGGGGGAAAGTTTAGAGTGCAGTGTTTGAGGAAAAAATTGGGCCTGATATACCCCCATCCCTTCATTTTCTCTAACAATTCATGAAGAAAACATTTTTACAAACAGATGCTCGAATCGGCAAAGGCAGAAATTTTGATTTCAAGTTCTACCGCCCTACAAAGGCAAGGGGAACAGTGAGGTTTTTAGAGTGGCAAAAAATGGAAATATGGAAATTATGCCCCATGCCGATGCCAGGGCTGGAGGTGTATTTCCTGTCCATTGAACTCGCCCTGTACACTGCATTCCCATAATGCCACGGACGTGTACTGAGCCTGGTTGAGATAGCATTGTGAATGCCAAAGTACGAGTATGCATCTATATATTCTCTGGACTAATTATTTAATCTGGCAAATTAGGCGCCTTTGCTTTCTGAACTGTTCCGAATATTGCTCCAGTGCATTCGCTGAAACTCGGCCTCCGGCTTAAAGATGTATGCGAGTATTAGCATTTTGTAGACCTCTAGGACCGGCTAGAATATAATTTTCATAATACAAATTGGCAACTTATTATGCAGGAGCCCCAAACACCCATACTCGTATTGTGGAAGCCTTAAGCTTTACCAGCCACACTTGAGCACGCAGTCGTGCAAAATGCCAACTGGCTATGTACATATATACTCACAGTACAGTAGAGACAGCCTACAAGGGCTTAAGTGCTGATTGACTTCCGAACCGCACACTCGAAGGCCCAATTATGAAATCGTCAATTTAAACCAGACACACAGCAGATTCGCCAAACACTCAAACACCCGGGCACACACGAGGGTCAGGTTGGAGGAACTGACAAGGGAGAGATGAAGAAAGGGGACAGCATAATCGTGTCCAGCTCTTAAGGGTAGAAGGGAAAGCTGAGACGGCTGAGAGGTAGAATCAGGGGTCAGGGAAAGGCTTATACAAATACACGAGACGTGACGCACACCACAGCGTATGAGTAATAACTCTAGACAAGCGGAAAATTAATACCACTTGAGGCCTTGCCATGTCACTGCTTCAGTATGTCCTGCTGGACAGACGTCCACATATACTCCCAGGAGAAGGTGGAGGAGGAGACCTCCCAAAAGGTGTAATTTGTTGTCTGCTGCTGCTGCGTGTGTGTTTCGCCTGCTTAATGACCCACCAAGTCATGTTGCCCCAGGCAGACCCGAGTGTCCAATGAAATCTCTGTGTTTAGTGTCGAATTAGTTACGACGGAGGCTGAGAAGAGCACCACACCTCAGCCTTGATAAAGACGTATTTAATGAAATACCATCAAAGCAACTCCAGATCCAGAATTAAAGTAATAGGCATAGAACATCCGCTGACTCCCTATCTGACGTTCTGGTGACTCATTCATCTCCCATCAATTCACATTTATTGCGTTTCCGTTTCAATTAGCACAGAAAAGTCAAATGCTTCCGCGCCGAAAGGAGGCGCTAAATAAACTGGAATAAAAGTATCATCATCAACGGCATCTTCAACGTCGTTGTCATCTCCAGCACCAAAGACAAAGTCAAACAAGGCCGCAGCAGTGATGGATTCGTTTTTGATAAATTATTAAAGCAATACGTAGACGAGTATCAAGAACTCCAAAAGGTGGAAAGGTAGTATTTACTCACCACGCCTTCCCCAATGTGATGCACGGTGCAGGGCACGTGGGCGGTGGCGCCAATCTGCGTCGTCACAACCGTCGAGTTCTCAGTGCCGAAGTACATGGGAGAGCCGAACACACTTTCCACTCCATCGATGCCGTTCGTTGCTTCCAGATTGTTCTCAGCCGGCTCTGATCTGTGGCCGGCCATGGGAATTGGATAGGGCCCGGCCGTGTCTTTCGCCTGTATGCGGGAGTGCTGCTGTAGATGTTGCTGCGGATGCTGCTCGGGACTCGCATGTGGGCCCTGGCCCTGGCTCTGGTGCTTGTCATCGATCAAGTTGGTCGAATCGAAGCTTGTTATGCTGCTCCCGCTTGCTCCCACGGGTCCCTGGGCATAGGGCTCCGGCACGGGCACAGGCTCGGGATCCGACTCCCCCTCATAGTCAGCTCGGGAGTATGATGGGTAGGGGGCCGTGAGGGCTGCGGCCGAGACCGGTGACATAATTAAATTTTGATTTATATGCCTCTGTGATGGCTGTGCGCTATGTCCACTTCTGGCAGCCGCCGCCGCGGCCGCCGTTGTGCTTTGCGGCGCCATTGTGGAAGCGGCTTCTGCTTCTGTTCCTGCCCCATCCATTGCGGTTGCGATTGCTGTATGGTCTGCGAAGGAGTCGGAAGAGGGAGAGTGACATTTTTAAAATGTGTTAATATATTCGTTGCCCGCTGGTGGCCAGGCGCCTGCCGCAACAGTTTGTCGGAGGGGCAAAACAATAACAGAAACAGCATGAAGTCAATTAATTTGGATTAACTGACAGCTCTGCGTATACGCAATATTATTCCAAACATTTCCATTTGGAGAAGCTGGGCTAATTAAATCTCGTCCTTTGGTTTCATTTCTGGGAAATATTTTAGGTCTTTAGCAAACGAAACTCAATGGAGAACGTATAGCAGTCTAAAAAAAGTGTCGATGGGGAGTCAAAGATGAAGGACTTGCTCTAAATGTTTCGAGGGGAAGTAGGCTAGAAAAACGGATTTACAGACCGAAAATAGGATTACGTTTTTATTCTTGTAATACCTAAGTATATTTCCCTACGAAAGCAAAACCAGGTGGCTTGTAAAATCTTAAACTGCACCCAAAAATATAGAGGCAAAAAATATGAAATGTTGATGATACATGGCTTCTAAAGAATTTATAACTACAAGATACTTAACGATGTTCTTTGAGCTAACAAAGAATAAAATTCAAGAAATTCCGCATGTTATCACCTCGAGGAATGGCATTCTTCTTCGCCTTTAATTTTAAATGGTTAAATGTAGCTCACTGCAACGACATTCATTCCGACTCTATTTCGTTATGGCTCTGGGAAACCATACACCCACACACCCACACACTCACACTCGAGGAGACAATTCCATCGACACAGCCCCAGAGGAATATAACCACATTGCACGTTTCTTGCTTTGGTGATTTTGTTGGACCAACAAAATAATATTTCACAATTAACGATAATTGCTTTTGCCAAACACGAACTGGGCCTGGGGTTTCGGCAATGTCAATTAACTTGAATTTTCAACACTGCAAATTGAATAATGGCTAAATGCATTTGGTTTCTGATTGGAATTTTGCACTGATATGGATTCCCTGCCCACAGAAGGCGAAGAAAATGTTTAGTTTTCATCTGGAGGGGCAATTGCTTTGTCTGGACTGCCATAGAATAATGCAAAATTAATTAGTTTGGCATTCGACAGGAGGAATTTTGTGCACGACAACTCTTGAGAAGGCACTTAATTAGTACCTTGCTGGGATTCTCCACATAAGGAAATTTCCGAATTGAAAAGCTCTACATCTCGGTGGGGACGTGCATGTCTCGAGGGGATCGGAAAACAATTTGGCTAGTCTGTCGCATCGTGCCATTGCAGAACAATCGAGTCAATCAATGCAACATCTTTCGATTGACACCTCGCCATTCCCCTTGTTGTTGTTGACTCTGACAATCGCTCAGTGCGACCAATTGACAGGTGGCTGTCAATTGTCTTGCCACAGCAATTTGCCACTGCAGCCGTACAACTGATTCACCCCCACTATTTCTCTCCGCCAAGAGAACCAGAGTTACGGGGGTCAGGTCAGCCACAACGACTACGATTGCCGTGGCAAGCGTTTCACATTCTGCGGTCTCTCCTCTGTTGTGAAGCCGCCCATCATCCCCCGCCATCAGCAGTGCTCTATAAATACCAAGTAGCTTCCAGGAGTTGTCTGCACGCACAAAACAAACAAATTGCCAACATCAGCTCGATAAAAAGTAAAAAACAATTCAAAAATTAACAGTGCTGAGAAAATCATGCGACAACCATGAAATAACAATTCAATACTAGACTTCATGAAAAATAGTTTGAATAGATTCCTGGGAATCCTGTACTAATGGAAGATCGTGCTTTTTCAGATTTGTTCATTCAAATTTTCATTTAAAGAAGAATTGTTGAGAATCTACAAGTATTTAATAGAAATATACCCATTTTGAATAATTAAATTAAATCTAACACTCTCATCAGGATCTTGTATGTAGGTTCCCGCTTTTGCGCCCAGTGTACTCGTACTACTGCTGCTACTCATTGGCACACAGAACTTGGCCGAAACTGAATCGTGGTATTTTCGTCACGTTCGCACGTGACTGACTGCCAGGCGACATGCAGCCTCCGTTCTAGTACTTCTCCGTGCTTCTTGCTCCCTACGTACATACGTAAACGTAATCGTAATGGTCGCTGGTAGACCACAAAACAGCTTCCGAACTACCCGTAGTTGCTTCTGCTCCTGTTGCAGCACTGCTTCACCTCTCTCTCCCAGAGTCTCTGGTTGCTTCAGCTGCAAATTTGCATGCTTCCGATGGTTTGTGCGACTTTGTAATTGAATTTTTCACGGCGCAATGTAGAATCGCTCCCTGGATCCATGTCCGCAGCTCCTCCATCTGCAACTAGATATACACACTCGTACATCTGCATTTGCAGTGGAACTGCTCTGTTCCTGTTCCACTTCCTGTTACGTATTTTTCTTGTTTCCGGCAGCGGTGGTGGTGGCTGTTTGGGATGGGATTGGATTTGGAATCGCTCTGCATTGTGCAACCGCTGTTGTGCGCATTGTCAACACTACAGAGATTCCCAGCTCAGAGACCGAGACCGAGACCGATAACGAAACCGAAACGCAAGCCACAAACATGTTGCAGCAGCAGCAATACTCCCGTACATTTTTTGTTTTCGGGTGATTTTCAACTTTTCGTTTGGCAAAACATTCGCAATTTGTGCGTTCGCTAAACTTTCATCATTCCCGCTCCTGCTTGGCCCCCCTTCAGCCACATACCAGTCATCACCATTCTTCCCCCTTCTCTACCCACCATTGTGCTACGACATTTTAATCAAAAGTTGGCTGCATGCTGCGTGATTCCGCACAGTACCCAGCCCCAACCCCTCGCAAACAGCAAATATCAATGATTCCGCATGTGCTTGTGTCATCATCGCTCTGCAGGATCTGTAGGATCTGTAGGATTCGTATTTATGCTGCATCTGACATCGTGGCTTGACGTTAATTAAGTTTGCTTACACATACACCGTGGAGGGGTGTGGAATATCATCGCAAGGATATGCATGTTGTGGCAGGGACTGAAGCTGAGACAGCAGCTGGCTAAATGAGCTAGTTCCCATGAGGCAAAATCTACATGCACAGCTCTGTCGTATCAGATGAACCCTCTGAACCCTGGAATGATAATGGTTCGCATTTAGTTGTGGCTTTGTATAAGGAGATTGCGGTCCCAATTCTCAGTCCAAATTTATGTGCAAGCGTACGATACCATTCCCGGAATAATTCGAGGCCTACTAATTCTAATTCGAGTACTAGTTTATCTGGAAACTACACGAAAATATCCATCTAACTAATGCAATTGTTTTAATGTTTGCTCTGTCATCAGTTAAATATATGGCTGTAAATGTGGGCCGAAAACGCATTTTGAAATGGCATTATCATAATTATACGCGCGCACGACATCCTGCTAGACTCATTAATTTCATTTGATTTCATATTTTATGTAACGATGTGCATTTCTCTAATTAAAATACAAATATATGGCCAGTGGACTTCCGCTGGCGGCCACCACGTCCCCGGCTGCATAATTTATTCCGATGCTGCAACTAAATTTGCGGTCACAGAGCTTGGGACAATTGCCCGCACGAATTGACACAAATTCCTTTGTCGAACCTTTCGCAACCATCGAATGCGGCGAGGAGGAGATACACAATACCCTGTGCGGCATTTGAATGGAAATTTTGTAACTAAATACATGAATACAACAGAATGCTAAATTAATTAATTAAAGAGGTTTCCAATTCCATCTTAAAGTCTGGTTGAAAGCTATTTTAAAGTAAACTTCAAGCGACTGCCCGCAAAAGAGGAAGAAGACGACGAGGACGACTCTTCGGCAAACTTTTGGCCCTTGGTTCATTACGAAAGTTTTCCGTTGGACGCTTTCTGTTTTTATGGCAAATATTGTTTGTTGTCTGTTTTCAAAATGTTTGCATTTGACACTTGGCGGTAATTTGTGTGTAAATGCGTCAACTGGAGGCTCCCCAGGAGAGCCCCTGCCCCTCCTCTGGCCAGGAGGTCCAGGCAAACTTTTCCACTCTGCAGCCATTTAATTGAAATTCCGCAAAATGGCCCCACGCATGGCCTGTGCAGCCTTGCGGGTCTGCTACTTGGGAACTTGTTGTTAATGGGCACTCACCCGAAGTTGGTTGTTCGGGGCAAACGGTTCACTTTGCGACTGTCATAATTTTGATGGCTCCGGCTGGCATATGTACGTACGAGTATGAGAGTAAGGCGGAAGTGTAAAATCAGATAAGTGCGGTGCGCTGCCACATACTATGACTATTCCCCCCCATTTATTTTCCAATAAAGCCCTGGACCAGGGCGAGGCTATCATTAATGTCGTGAATCCAGGACCTCGCGACGTCAACTGCGCCGCACAAAATCACCAGCAGAGCATAGTAGAGCGGAGCGCGAGGCTCGGCTCGGCTCGGCTCTCTCGTAAAAAGGCATTAAGACCAAAAGTAAAGTGCCTATTTAAGTTGAGTCATAAAATTGGCTTTCTATCTGGCAAAGGGAATGGCAAATGGCTGTCAGAGTGGGGATTGGAGTGTGAAGAGCGGAGAGTGGGGCATGGAGAGTGGAAAGTGCTCGCGAGGCATTCTAATTTTGTTTATTTTATTTCAATTCGTGTCTAAGTGTTCAACTCTGGGTCTTTGTTTAGGACAATATGCCTGGCTTTTCCTCCACTCCTCCTTTATACTTAAATTCCCAGAGAATTTTCAACTTTTAAATAGTTGAAAACCCCGCAGTATCCTGGGATAAGCCAACTTTTAGCTAATTGTAGGGGGGAGAGGATGTTGTCATCATGAATCACTAAAAATTTCCATTTTTAGATGAGAGTATCATCAAAAGACACTGATTTCGGGCCAATCAATAATGGCCACAAATGGGAACGAAAGCACAGAGGATTCATAAATTATGGCTGCAAAATAAATACGAATAAGGTAGAAATATGCTTCAGCGAGTTTCGGTGTGGATGCCACACAAAATCCTTGATCTGAAGCCAAGAGCCCCGTCGAGTGCAAAGTGA